AGGCGGTCATGAGAGCTATCTTCACATATTTCAGTGCTACATGGAGGCGGGATTAGATTGTTCTGTGTGGGAACAAGGGAACAGAAAAAGGAATAATGGATAACATAAGAGGCGAGAAATCATGGTAAATATTGGGAAGAACTCTGTAGAGGTCAACACCGTACGAAGATGAACTAGATGGTCTTGGGACGAGGGGAGCTCCCAAGAGCTGGATGTGTCATAGTGGACGTTTCTTGTTGGGGATGTTGTTGAAGCTTCTAATGAGCCAGTGGCTAGAAGGACCGTCTAATGCTAATGCTTGTGCTTACTGATTTTATTATCAAATCCATTAGTGTAAAATCATCGTCCACTTAGAGACCTATTTTTATGGTATGATCCTTAAGTGACTCCTTGGTGACTTCCCCATTTCCCTCCCCAAGGCAGAAAGCTTGCAGAACTAGGTGTCTAATCCAGCTCTGCTACTCGCTGTACAACACTGAGGGAATCATTTAAATTTCCCTGCTTCAAGTTTTTCATCTTTAAAAGGAAGTTTCCTCTATCTGTCTCCTCCGCTTCACGTGGATATCAGGAAGTATGCTAGGCTGTCTCAGACGTGCTTCAGAAAATTAAAATAATATGCAGGTATAACCTATGATGACTATAAGTTCGGTGCACCATATACTTGCGACCACCAACATTCTCTGGCACCTCTTGCATCCGCAGATTCTCTCTGATCCTTCTTAGAATTTATAATCTGCCTGTTTTATTTGTTTTACAAATCTTTGTTGAGTTACTGTTACGTTAGGCAATGTACAAGTTATTGTGCTAGCCACTGTTGGAAAACAAAATGATGAACGAGAGCATCATTTTCTTCAAGGTGTTTGCCATCAAATAGAGGTCTCCATCAATACACAAATAATGTAATACAAGGCAAGGTATTTGAATGCTTTAATATTAATGTAGATAAAATGCTACAGAAGATCACAGGAGGTGAGAACTGCAGGATGCTTTGGCTAGCATCCCTCTAGGAAAGCAGGATGCTCTCCTCTTTCTTACCCCCAACTCTGCTGGGATCTAGTAGAAGCTGGTTCTCTTCGAGATTATGAACTTTTGCATTGGCGCTGAGAAGTGGGGCAGCTGCCCAAGATCCAATTTTTAGTCCCTTTGCATTGGCCTTGAGGAGAAAGCTATGATTTTTCTCTTATAGAGAGAAAAAATATCTGAAGCTCAGCAAGGTCAAGTACAAGTCAAAAATGGTTATGTAAGGCAGACCCTCACCACTGGAACTATCTAGAGTTTCAATGCAAAGAAGAAGGCTTGTTTCAAAGAGTGATTTATTACAAGTTTTCCTTTTTTAGGTGCCTAATAACAGCCACCCAATAGGATGTTTGCTTTCTCCTGGGATCAGGCTGCATCCCTTTTCTGTGCAGAGGTGCTGGAGCTGGTAGAAGGCAGGCTAAAGGGACTTGCAAACGCTGCGCCAGTCAGCTGCAACAAGTTCTATAAACTCCCTTGGATGTGATGGGCCAGTCTTAGAAAACTCTGCAAAGCAGCTGCCATTGGCTTGCATGTGTGAAAGATAAATAAATAGAATATTTATTGACTGTTTAGTATGTTTCAGGCTTAAGAATTTTACACGGATTAATTCACTTGTGGTTACTCTTACTATTCCTATCTTACAAACAAGGAAACTGAGTCGTAGAATGACGAAGGAACTTTTCCAAGGTTACACGGCTAGTGTAACCTTGTGGTGAAATCAGGATTTGGAGTAGGATTGTGTAAAGAAGTAATGTATAAATAAGGAAATAAAATGTTATTTATAGACATATATTTAACAATATATATACTTGTACATACACATTTACACACATATTTAGATTTACTCTCCCCAAATTATTTTACGTGGCTTAGAACAAAGGACTCATAAAATAAAATTAAGAAAACAGACAATCAAGGCCGTGAGAGGGAGAAATGTGCTAACCGTGTGAGCTGCACCTGTGATTGATATCAAATGTGAAAACAAGAAAGAAAAAACATAGATCCTTCTAAAGGCCATTTTACCCAGGAACCAAAAGTTGTTTTTGTCTTCATAGCCACATATTATAAAAATTAAACAAACTCTACTATCACAATCTTAATTAAAAAAAAATTAAACAAACTCTATGAAAGCTATGATTTTTCCCGATCATATTTTAAATTTTTGAGCATCCCTGCCATTTAAAATTTCTTGATATTTATTTTTAAATGAGATAATAAAAAATCTAAAACATATTTCCTTAACGGTGAAATACTACATTTAGTCCCAAGCCTCTTTTCCTTACTTAGTGGTCAGGCCCTATATGTCATATTGGAGACTGGAAATCTATTCCAGCCCTTCTTGCAGGAGCAGGCAATTTTCCTTTTCCACAATCCGAGAGGCACAAGTGCCTGGCACAGAGATCCCGCTTGCTAAACCATCTGCAGAAGAATATTGAATGATGGCTTCTACTGCCACATGATGCCTCACACCACCGATATATAATGCGTGTTTTAAAAAATGTGTCATTGTCCCAATCTAAAGGCTCTGTGGACCCACCAGTTTTCCAGGAGCGGTAATAACTTGCAACAGGTAATTTCTATGCACTTCTTTCTGTTCTCTTGCATTAGTCCTGGTCAGTCAGCACTTTGTCCTGCCAGAGATCTCCAAACTGGAATGCAAAACCCTTGGGCATGTGCTAAGACTGTGTCATGGGAGTGTTGGAAGAAAATACTAAAACTCTTAATTTTATTTTTATCTCATGCTTTTTCACTTCTTTTTTGTGAGTGTACGCTTTATAATAATAAATATATATCCACGCAGTGGTACATTTTAAAAATGTATACATAAATATATATATTGAGGGCACATGCTCAAATATTTTACTGATAGCAATGTGTGTTCTAGAAGTTTGAAGACTGTAGCTCTAAATAATTCTGCTGAGCTAAGCGTAATTCAACAACAAAAAAAATCTTTGCAACCATAAAGAAATAAAGAACGTTTTCCTATGGGTGGGGTTGAGGGTAGGGGTGAGCAGTGGGCTGTTTTTTTAAATGTTTCGTAACATAAATATACCAGCAGTAATTCACAACACTTTGCTCAGCAATTAAATACAGTAAGTTGTGCTGATTTTCTTTTCCTCTTCAAAAAAAGAGCACAGTAAAATCCTGAAAAAGTTTTTCTGGTTATGCTTCCCTCTGCCTCTTGTCCCTGAAGCTTGCCATTTGGAAGGAAGGACTTGTCAAGTTAACCAAAACCTGTGTTGGGTATTAAGACTTCTGGGTTTAAGTTCCTTCTTCACCGGCATTTATGTAAGATCGAGCAGGTTATATAATTTGTCCCTCTCTCATTTCTCTTATGGATAAAACAGATAATAATACTTAGCACCAACCTCATAACAGTGTAGTGTGGATAAAGAACATGGTGACAGAAGTCAACTAAATGCAGCGCGTCATTAAATAACCTTTAATATTATTAGTTTAAAATGCTGTGATTTTATATACTTTTCCCTTTAAAAAATTGTTTTCCTTTAAAAGAATAAATGAAACATCATATTTCTAAATACCCACTATGTGTTTGTCTCCTAAACTTCATCAATTTAAGTTTTCTCTTTATCTGTTTCTTTTTCCCACTCTTTCACACACACACTCATTTGATAACATTATGAACGTGAGTGAAGAACCTTAAGATAGCATCGAGGAACTAAGAGGGGACTTGAAATAGGTTCTCTTATTCAGCTTTCCTGTAAGTTTTATAGCTATGCATCCAGGCCATAAAATTATAGTGGTTATTTAATCCTCAAAACGTTTGTGTTTTAAGAATAATTCACAGACTCTTACATCAGAAAGAACCTTAAGAAAACATCTAGGGACTATAATAATGCCTGGCACTTGGTAGATGCTGGATAAACATTTAATGAAGGGAAACTGGAGGAAGCCTCTTGTTTTAATCTTGAAAGAAAAAATGAAAACAAAACCCAAAATCAACTCTGAGCATTAAAGAGCCTCAAGATTGTTCAATTAGTTTAAAAGTTGGGTCTAGAATTTATTTCTCTTAATTTTCAGCTATAGCTTTTCCCCAGCAACCTGTTGACTTGTTTATATAGGACAGTCAAATACAACCTGCCAAAGACACATCACAGAAAAAAATTCAGACAGAACAGCCCTTGGGTTCACCATCTCCAAAAGTCGCCCAACACGTGATGTTCACATCTGACATGAAGCGTGTGAAGTCAATATCACATATAAAATGCAAAATATAAATCTTGCATATATTGACTCAAAAGGTCTATTTTTAAGGGAAAGGGTCAACAGCCAATCTTCCGTGACTCGTGCTACCTAACAGCACTGTTTGCATGCCCACATAGGTGATTTGCAGTACTCTGACCAGCTAAAAGTAGATCGGCTATTTCAGTAAAATGTTTATCTTTGTTTCTGTGTATCGTCGTATTAATTTTTCTGAATTCACCTACGGATGAGGCATTAACAACCTCAATGCATGATAGTCCTAATAAACTTATCTGGCACTATTTTGGCCTATGTGATAGTAACCCATTGACAAAAGAAATCCAAGCTGATAAAAGCCATTCTCGGCCACTTGTTAGCCAAGTCAGGCTGTAAAATCACAACACAATGCACGCCTCTTCATGGGGCACCACACGGCAGCGATTAAAAAACCCCCTCACTTCCATATCCAGTGGAGTTGTAGTTCATTACTATAACCCTCCCAAGTCCAAAAGATGCCCGTTTCAAGCCTTGCAACTTGGTGCAGACAGGTTTTTTTCCCCTAAACCCACTCCGCTGGGCCTCTCTACCTGTCCTCTCCTACTGTCTACAGGTCCCGAACATTAGAAAATAGAAAATGTGATGATCTTTGTGTGTCTCTGTAAAATGTGTGTATGTGTGCGTGTGTTTGGGTGTAACGGGCCTCCTGGTTGGCCGCGCGGGCCGTCCGTCAGCGCGCGGGCCAATGGCAGGCTGCCTTATATAAAATGAGTGTTTTCAGGCTCTCGGGGTTGCATGTACTGTATGTGGAGCAGTGTACAGTGGAGCGGAGGCAGAGCGGCTCCGCGAGCTCCTCGCCACTTTCCCATAGAGCAGCCCCGACTGGCCGCCGAGGGCGAGCCACACACACGCCCTCGCGCCCGGCGAGCCCGCGAGGTAAGCCCCCGGCCGCAGCCCTCCCCGGGCGCTCGCCCCGCACTTTCTGTTTTCCTACTCACTTGCGAGCCGCCGGCTGCAGCCCCAAGGACTCCGCGGCAGGAGCAGCGGCGGCGGCAGCCGGCTGGGTGGACTTGAGGAAGACGGAGGGGACCCCGCGCGCCGAGCCGCCGCCGGCCGGCCGCTCCCCGGGCACTTTCCCCCTCCGCCAAAACTTTGGGTCGGGAGAGGTCGCGGGCGAGGGTCGCGCGGCCGCGCCGGCGGGGGCGGGGGGCGCGGAGGCAGTGCCCGGCGGGCGGGAGCCGGGGGCCGGCGGGGAGTAGTAGGCCAGCCGGTGCCAGGCTGCGTTTGCAGGCAGCACCTCTCGGCGCGCAGGCAGCGCCGCCCGAGAGGGGCACGGGCGCCGGGGCGCGGGCAGGGGCAGCCCGAGGAAAACAACAACAGAGCCTCACGCCGCCGGCGCCTCCAGGCCGCCCGGGGAGCCCCAAACTTCATCGCGGCGAAAGTACGTGGAGCCAGCCTGGTCTGGCTGCCGGGGAGGTGGGGCCTGGGGAGCAGGGGCAGGGGAGGAAGGTACGAGGAGCCAGCCCTCCGTGGATTTATGGAACGTTCGTGTGCGTCGGTGACCGGGAACAGCAGCCCAGGGGCTCGTCCATCGGGAGAGTTGGGCTTGGGGTGTTCCGGCCCCGCAGATCGGTGCCCTCTCACCCCCCACCCCGAAGCGAATGCGCGGCGAGTAGAGAAAGTGCTGTTTTAGTGCCAGAGTAGCCGGGAGGAAGAATGGGGGAGAGGGGGAAGAGGGCGAGGAAGAAGGGGAGAGAGGAGAGGGAGGGAAAGCGGGAGGGGGGGGAGAACGAGGGAGAGGGAGAGAGGGAGAACGGGAGGGAAGAGAGAGGAGGGGGAAGAGGAGGAGGGAGGCTGTGTCAGGATTTTGCTTGAATGTGGGATTATGTTGTGTCAATAAGTTTAAGGTGGAGAGAGCAAGGCTGGGGGTGGTGGTGGAGGGGAGGAGGAAGGCCTCGTCTGTTTAAAGTCTTATTTCTGAAGGTAAGTTATGGCATTGCATGGTCGCGATGACAGAAAACTTGCAGATCCTTTATCCGGGGATGGGGTCGATGCCTCTAGAAAGAGCTTCCCAGCCCTCTTATGCCACACTCATGTTACACTGTTATTTGCTGCGATCCGGGTCGCTAGTAAATTACAGAAATCAGACTCGAGGTTTCTTTTCCTCCTCCACCTCGTCTCGCTCGCTCACCCTCAGAAATTTATTATTATTATTTTTTATTTTTTGGTATTGTATGAAACTTAACGTAACTGAGACCAAACCCGAGTCCTGTAATTTACAAGGACCCTGAATCCAAGAATCTGGAACACGTTTGTGTGTGAAATAGCCGCGATCATTTCTGCTAAATGAGGAAGGTAAAACGAAACGATGCAAAAAGCTAAGACACAACATGTACGACAGAGGGGGGGGGAGAGGGAGAGACGGAGAGAGAAGCTATTTTTTGCTTTCCTTTCTGTAGAAAGGAAAATAAAGCGTGCATTCCCCTTCCCTCCGGTGTGTAGGGTCTAGTCAATATTTTAACTGTCTGAGGACAAATTAGTCCAGGTGGATCTTGTTGAAAAGTTTCGCGAGGTGGGGTGGAGGTGGGGGGGGGTTACGAAGGGGAAGGTGGGTGGAGGTTGTGGGGGATGGGGACGGAGCGAGCTCTGCCTCTGCTAATGGTCATTGGCCTGGGGCTTTGAAACCATTGCCTGTCCTGCTAATGACACGTCCAGTTCTCGTCTCCCGGCCGCGGACGCCGGGCTGCCGGGGACTGGGGTACTTTCCCCGCGCGGGGAGGGGGCGCTCCTCGCCATCCCCTGGGGTTGCCCACTCGCGGCGTGGGAGCCCCCACGCGCGCCCCCTCTACCGCGCGCCGCCACCACCTCTGCTCGCGCGACTTTTGTAGCCAGTGCGCGGCCAGGGGGCGCGGGGGTCCCCGGCGCGGACGTCCCCGCGCGGCCACCCCGCGCCCGGCCCCACGCGCGCCGCGCGGTCCAAGCCCGGAATGGCAGCGCCCGGCCGGGCGGCGGTGCCTCCCCGGGGGGCAGCGGAGGCAGCGGCGGTGGCGGCGGGATCTTCGCCGGGGCCCGCGGGAGGAGGAGAGGGAGGAGGAGGAGGAGGGGAAGGAGGAGGAAGAGGAGGAGAGCGAGGCGTTTTCTGCCCAGATCGCCGCCAGTTCGAGCGGGCACGGGGACGGGGACACCCTCCTCGTTGCTCCTCCGTTATGGAAAGGTGTTGAGCAGACTTTTACGCCTGGAGTGTGGGATTTGCACTTCATTTTTTTCTCCCCCCTCTTCCCCAAAGCAAGATGGACTCTATTCCCTTTCTCTTTCTCCCTCTGCCTCTGTCTTGTCAGCCTTTAAGATCGACATTTTGTACTAAGATGCAAACTTGATGGTGACCAGCAACAAAGCCGGGGTGGGATCCTCGCTCCTGTCCTCCCTCTCCGTTTCCCAGCTCCCCCCACCCCGACCTCGGAGACCTGGTGGCCCTGCACTTGCCGCCGGGGGCTCTGGCGAATGTGTTTCCCCGCTCGATTCCGATCTCCAGTCTCGGGATTGTGCCAGGGGCCGGGCGTTTGGGCGACGGCTGTGGCCGCCCAGGTCTGCAAGGCTGAGGGCTGTGCTACCTGGACCCGCTGCCGGCGCCGTGCTCCCTCCAGCCGGCTCCTGGGCACGGCGGAGGCTCGGGCTGTCTTTCCATTGCTATGATTTGGTGGCTGGTGTATTTGTCCTGGGGGTGGCGATCACTTGTGCAAGTTGTTGGATGATCGCGGTGTGGGTTTTGGATTTGCAGAATGGATCAACTTTTTGCTTTGTACATACGGGGAGTAGGAAGCGGGGGTACTGGAGACACCCCGGAATGCCAGCGGGGCTGCTCTCAGCCTCTGCCCTTTGAATACCGGGATCTGTGCCTCTATTGCCCCCACATTTCACACGTGGGAGTGGGGGCGGAGAGAGGGGAAGTGTTGGTGAGGAGCTGGACTCCTGGGTTTCGGGGTTCTTCCTTCATAGATGTTGCAGGAGTTGGGACTCTATTGTAAAGCTCTGCCGTACTGCTGATGTACCTTTATTTGATACTTTATAGGTCGCTATCATATGACAAAGGCTGCACGCGGTTCATCTTGCTCCCCGTGTACTTTCCATTTGCCTTCCTGGGTGAGTATGCTGACTTTTCATCCAGCGAAGCTGGCTGGTTGTTAGTAATAACGTAAAGTCCTTACTGTTCACAGAAGAAGATGCGTTATTGGGGTTGCAACATCCCAGAGAGCTTGTCTCCCTGAGTTTCCCACAGTAGAAGTCAACTTATGATTCTTAGTAGTTAGAATTCGGCTGCCGTTATTATCTTAAGGTAGTTTAAATGTTCATTTCATGTTTATCTGCAAGTAAGTGTCATTTGAAAACTTATTTTCAAATAGGCGTTTTAATTGATAATGAAATTTTACACAGAGTTGAAGGCCTAGGAAATTTAATGTGAGATAATATTGTAGAAAGGTTGCAGCTTAAGTGGGAAAAGAATTATTAAAAACCCAAGGAGGCATTGTGCAGAAAGCCTCTCGAGTTATGGTGACTGACATTTGCTTACTCTTTCCTAGGTGCCCTTTCTTGGGTGATGTGTGCTGTTTGTGACTGTTACTTTGGTGGTGGGGACAGGTGGCCTGGGTGGTATAGTAAATGTAGCATTTAGTGTACCAGCTTGATTCAAAAGGCAAATAACTGTCCAAATTGATCATAATTTCCTTCAAAATTTATGTATTTAGAGAAATTGAGTACATTTTAACAGCCTGTGTATATAATAAACAGCGACTTTGAAATCCGTTCAGTGCCTTTTTCAGATATATGCCCCCCCCCATGGAAAAATCGGTGAAATGATGTGTGGGACAGCAAGTGCTTGAAAAGTTTGTTTGTGAGAAGTAACAGTCTAGGTGAAAACGGAGGGTTTCTAGAACATTGGAAAGCAGCACGGTGAGCCCAGACTGCAGAAACCAACTTGCAGTGTTGCCCCTCCATTGTCAGGAGCACCTCAGGTACGCTTAAGTTGCTGATATTTAAAAAAAAAAACCCGGGTTGTACTGGATTGTGTAAATCGCTTGTCATGCTTTGAATGTTATCATCAAGGACATGGAGATTATATTTTGTGAATGAAAGTGGACTTGAACTCAGTTTTCTATAAAAGAAGAAGAAAAGGGACCTTGCCTGTTTTGTTTCCTGGCTTGCTGGGATATTGTGTACCATACTAAAAGGTTGTCTTAGTATTAAGACAACTTAACCTTTGAGGACCAGGCCTTTCTGGCAGTTCCATTTGGTAGTAAAATATACTTTGACATTGCTGAGAACCTTAGATGATATAAAATATAAGCTCTGTGTCTAACATTTTTTATGGAATGTAAATATTCCATTATTTCAGACAGTCAAGAGAACTTCCTGACATGTCACATCTGTAACAGGCCAATTGGAGCGGTCAAAATGAGATGGTTCTGTAAGATGAATTTAGTGCCCACCAAAATATGTGGATTTCAGTGTCTTTGATTTTTTTTTTTTAGCTTGTTTGCAAGAGAAGTTTTTCATTTTTGAACATATGGCAAGAGTCTTCAAAATGCATTCCTGATTACTAAGGAACGCCACATTTATACATGTGAGGCACATTATTTTGTTCGCTGGAGCAAACTTTTAATGTTAGCTCTTTCCCCATGGAAATATATTTGACCAATTCAAAATTTAAAGTGGCAATCAGTAATTTCCTGAATAACAGCGATGTGATCAGCTCCTGCATTTCTTTGAGATGTCAAATGACTGCTTCAATAAAACAGCATTTTAAAGAAGAGTCTTGGTCTTTGAAGTCGCAGTAGTTGGTATAGTGTAAAACTCGTAGTAGTGATCTAAAAAGGTCACACTGACAATGAATTGCCAGTTATTTGCATCTAAAATGTATTTATTAGATTTGAGGCTTAATTATCAAAATAAGAATTTAGATAAAGGTTTTGCTTCTGCATTGCCAAGAGTTTCCAAACTTCCCATTTTATTATTCTGCATATCTCTGTTAAGTTGTGAAACTGAAGTCTTGATTTGCATTTCACGTTTAGTGCTAGCTATTGAAAAGAGGGTTCCTCTATGTTGTTTCTTAGTGCTCCATCTTTGGAGGTACTCTGGCAATCTTAGGAAGAATCTTCCAGTAGAGACTTAGATTTTAACAAAAATTTGCAGTTTTGACTTCTTTCTGTTTTTTAATCCATCTTGATCTTTGTATCCAAGTTAAAGTTCCAGGTTTCAGAGTTTGTGAGATAGCTCTGCTTTTCACATACGTGTAGCTCTGCTATACCGCTTGGAAAGTGTATGCCACCTTTGACTTTATAGACATGAGCTTTATACTTAATCCATTGAAACAGAGGAGATTTGTTTAGACGTTGAATTTAGAACATAGCTTTGAGTGAAAGTAGGATGAACATATCATTATGGTTTGCTTGTGCTGTAAGTAGCTATGTAATTGATAAGGTTTTTCATTTGTAGTAAAAAAGGAACAACTCTCAAAATAATGTGGTGTAACTCATGAAAATCTAACTCAGCAGCTAAAGTATTTATAAAGCCGCATTTTTCAGTAAAATTACAAACATAATTTCTAATTATTAATCATCAGCCAGCACAAGTACAGTTTACGTTTTCCTACGTTTCGTGAAGAGACTGGTAAAGCAAGGGACCATATTTTTAACTGAATCTTACCATGAATATCGATTACTTTTATATTAGAAATCTTTAATGGAAGTAATAAAGACTTCACGGCTCAACCCTATGAAAAAAAACTTTTTGAAAGTAGTCTCGTTACAGAAGTGCCTGTTTTTGCTGTGCTGAAGGAAATCCTTGACATTATTAGTGTCTTAGAAAAGTGCAGAGAATGTTTAAAATTGTGGTTTTTAAGTGCGCTAACTTAATAAATTTAGGCAATTGATATTGACATGTTGCATCACCACGAGTGTGGCATACCTGTATTTTAAGATTTAAACTTAAGCAGGTGCTTAGCTTAAGAAGATGACGCTTCTTGAACTTGTAGTTTGAAGTCCACTATGTGTTTTAACAATCCACCACTGCGGGTACCTTTTACAGTAGGTCTGAGGGGTGTCTCTCCTATAGTTTTAGTCAGCTTCCCTCCTCTCCCTGTGAAATAAAAACAAACCCAAATTATAGAAACATTGTGATTTCACGCCTTTGTTTTTATCGAGTGCCCCAGGTAAGTCGGATGCAGGCAGTCCTCCGGCTGCACTTGGACAAGCACTGCTCTGAAGGTAGTAAGGACTAAGGCTAAGGGCTGAGTGAAGCTGCTTCCAGCTTGAAGATTCTGTGACTGTAATCATTCAGTGGGTTAGTACCAGCTCAAGGGCAGTCAGCACATACAGAGTCGAATTGTAGCGATTTCTATGTTTTAAGACGGACTTGAGGGAAGCACTTTTTGAGAACAGCTTCAGTCAGTATTCATGTGTGTTCATTTTATCCCTGAGGCAATTACAGTTCCTTGAAACACCTGGACGTCATTTTAAAACTGTAAAGACATCCCCAGAAAATCCTCATGTATTAATGGGGATTGTTTTCTTTTTTTTTTCTTTGAAAGAAAAAGATAACGTGAGGATTGAAGTAAGTACCAATTACACAATGGAAATGCAAAAGGAGGCAAGCAATAAAGAATTCTATCTAAAAATGTATATAAATAGAGAGGGAATGAGAGACCAACGGAATGAAAGACTTAAGGGATTAAATATAGAGCGGGAAGCATTGACACACCTACCAAAATGTAAACTTAGTAAGTGAAAATATGTGAGTTGGTTCAAAAATCTAGATAGTGAAATAACTTCAGGTAGTGAGCAGGTTGTATGAAATACAAGGTAAAAATTAATAAGAATGAATTGGATTTTATGAAATCTTAGAAAAATAAAAAAATTCATAGAATGTTGATTAAATAATTAAACCGGTAGTTAAACATGGCCCTTGGGTGAAAAGATCAGAGAATGAAACAGAAGCTCCTGGAATGGAATGCTTGAGATCCTAAAAAAGACATAGAAGTTTGGATTTTTGTGAAGGGGATAAATAAAAGATCAATAACTTACTTTAAATGACTTAATCACTTCATATCATCCTAGACTTTTGAGGAGAGCAGATTGGAGCAAGTGGAGAATCTGTTTTTGTCCAGTGTTGACTCTCGCTCTGCTAGCAATTTTGTGAGGTTTTTTTTTTTCCTGAGAAAGATTTGCCTGAGCTAACATCTGTTGACAGTCTTCTTCTTTTTGTATGTGAGCTGCTGCCACAGCATGGCCACTGACAAATGAGTGGTGTAGGTCCATGCCCGGGACCTGAACCCAGGCTGCTGAAGTGGAGTGTGCCAAACTTAACCACTAGGCCACGGGGACTTGCCCCTGAGAACTTATTTTAAAGGAGAAATAAGAACAAGCATAAAAGTTGTTTACAGCAGCTGTGTTTCTCAGATGTTTTCGACTGAGATGTATGGTAAGAAGTACTTTTTATATCCTGATCCCCATATGAAAACTGAAACAAAAGTTTCCTGAAACAGTACTGAGAGCAGTGCTGTCCGGTATTTTCTATTCCTATCTCATCTTTATAAATCTGATCTGTTTCAAACTATTTTATTAAAAACAGAATAGAGGGTGTCCTTCGCTAAGTTGATTTTATGACTGACAGTTTGAAAAACAACAACCTGGAGTGCTTGCTAAAAATGAAGGTCCCCAGGCTGCATCCCCAGATCTTCGGAATCAGTGTGTCTGGGGTAGAGCCCAGGAATCTGCATTTTAACTAGGACTGGGGTGGTTCTGAAGCAGGTTCGAGGTCCTCTGACACACTTGGAGAGACACTGGTGTGAAGGACAGATGGCTCAAGATTGAATGGGAGTCATGCGCTGAATGTAGAGTTGAGAGTGCCTTGCTGAGGTCTCCTCCAGCTTCAGGATTCTTTACTGTGTCAGTCCGCAGGTTTACAATACTGAGAGGGCCCTCGTGGCCCTCTGCAGCTGTTCCCGGAGTAGCGAGGGTAGTAGAAGGAGCAGAGGCTTTGCAGCCAGAGAGCCCTGGGTTCCGTTCCCGCTGCCTCATTGCTTACTAGCTGAGGGACTTGGAGCTTGTCGCTTCAGAATAAACTTCCAGTATCGCATGTGCTAAAGG